CCAGTCTTGAAAAGCGCTTTGCAGTTAGGTGGTGAAAAGTGCATGCCATACTCCGACGCTTCAATCACCAGGCGGTTAAGTGCAAGTTGGACGACCTACGGACCATCACCTAACAATATGATATAATCAGTGTAATCGAAAGCAAACACCCCACTACTTGGGAGGAGCTCAACACCAGCGTATAACAAGTCTTCGAGAGCATTTTTGAGGACATGCTCAATGGCAAAGTTGAAAAGGAATGGAGAAATAGGGCATCCTTGTCGAACCTCACTGGTGACAACAAAGGAAGGCGAAAGCTCGCTATAAGCCCAAACTACCTGACGTCACACAATACAGAGCACGCAGAATGGAAACGAACTTCCTGGGAATACCATTCCTTAACAGACAGCGCCACAATGTAGCCCTGCCGACAGAATCGAAGACAGCACAGATATCCATGAACACAACAATCGTTGGTTTTTGATACACATGGCATAGCTCGAGAATCTGGCGGTGTGAAAATCTGATCGATGCAGCTGCGACCAGGATGGAAGCCAGCCTGTTCTTCTCGATGTAGCGATTCACGCGTTAGGGGATAGTGCGAAGAATGATGGACACCAGAAACTTGCAAACGACGTGAACCAAACTTAGGCCCCTGTAAATGGAGCAGTTTGTGCACAGGCCCTTTGTGAAGATGCGGACGACTATCGAATCACACCAGGATGAAGGAACCTCCTCTTTTACCCAGACTTCTGAGAACTAAGCAGTGTTTTCGAACCAGCGAAGAGCGCCATCTTTAAATAGAGCAGGAGGTAGACAATCAGGGCGGGGTGTTTTTCAACGCTTTAGGCAGCAGAGTTCCAGTCAGATTGCCTGGTGAGAGGAAGGATCAGTTGGGATAATCCACTCACCACCAGTGCGCGCCCCAGGAAAAATAGATGAAGTTGGCGGCCAGGAAAATTGCAAGTGAAAATGTTCGGCTCATCGCTTTAACCGTCGTTGAAGCTCAGTGACTAGGGAGCCATCATCTTCGCAGATTGTTTCGCTTACTCCTGATCGGAAGCCTTCGGAGGTGGAAGTTTTCTGGTATTACCAGAGAGATTAGCAAGTTCAAGCTCTCTATCATGCTCACACCACCAGGTCTCACAGGTCTTCTGTAAGCTCCTACGCAACGCTCGATCCAGGGATCGACGTTCCTCACTACAACTGGTGTCAGCTAGGATCAAGCGGCGCCTGTCCATCAGCGACAAGAAGACAGTGGTGATCCAGCTTTTCGGCGGGGGACAAACAAATCAAAACTGACAGTACTGGCAGAAAGTAAAGCGTCATTGATGCGCATGCGTTGCGAATTGAGACCATCGTCAGAGAATGAAGCAAGCAGTGTTGACAGAGAAAGTTGGTACTTGGCTAATGTCGCAGGAGGTTGCAGATTTTCGACGTTCGGTCGGTAGTGTGTACGTCTGGATGATCCTTCGAAAGGCATGCAAATTTTGGCACGAACCAATGCGTGACCGGAGTCCAGACAAGTTAACCAGTACAATACGTAGTCTGTTACGCTTCTGCGCCATCTGTAGCTTATTGCTATGTGGTCAAGCTGGGGCCATTCTTGTTTTTGAGAGGGCGGACACCAGTTAGCAGCCTGTCTTTTCGAATGACAAAAACCTGAACTCGAAAGAAACAAGCGATGATCAGAACGAAGTCAGTAGTTTGTCTCCATTGTCCGATCGGATGCTGCCGAGGCGGAACCTACTCCAAAGATGGTGCTCGGTTGGTGGCAGGCGGCCCACTCGGGCGTTAAACCTCCGGCAAGAATGACAGCCAGACCTTTAAGCGGAACGCAGAAGCTCATGTAGCTGTTGGTAAAAGTACTTCTTGACTGCATCCGGGCTGCAGTCTGTAAGAGCGTAGGCGGAGATGACAAACAAGGCATGTGTAACATCTCGACGCTTAGTTAACTTACATGAACCTCGTAGTCTGACTGTCCATAGCCGACTGTTGATTGGGATCCAGTCAAATAAAGTGACCTCAGCCCTGTCACTCAGTGCAACCACGACACCAGCTTGGCCAGAGGCGGCGGCCTCTGGGTCTCCGGGAAGGCGCAAGTGATATTTGACGTCAGGGTTTGACGAGGATATCATTCTGATGACGGTACTGGTGTCTTGCAACCTGGTTTCGGAAAGGCAACAGATGTCCACAGAGAGTATCTCAAGGGCGCGGGCCAGATATGCTTGTCGTCCGATCTGCATCAAAGTGCGCACATTGAACGCTGCAAGGTCGAATGGAGAACCAGGACGAAGGAAAGCTTGGGCTTCGGTTGCGTGTGAGGATGTTGTGACCACCGGGCAACGAACACCAAGCGTTTGGCTCAGAAGTCTGTCAGATGCGACCAGTGAGCTGTTGTTGACGATGACTGGGGAAGACATAGGTGCAGTTGAAGAACGGGACGTGGGACGATCTGTGAGCGGATGTCGAGCAGCAGAGACAGAAAAGACAGTAAACACAGCAAAAGGAAAACCAGTCGTGTAATCCATCCATGGTCCGTCAGTGGACGTGATACTACCAGGTTGCCCATGCCGAAGTAGAGGGTTGTCTTAGGGGGCCCCACCCAGAGTCTTTGATCCAGGATCTAACCTGCAAGGCAGCAGGACGATATGGGGGTATCGCAACCCGTTGGGTGCCGGTGACCAAACAAGTGGTTCATACGCCTTTAGAACTGTATAGGACCAGGGGCCCAACACCCCTTGAATTACAATGCTACTCAGAGAGAGGCAAGGGGCAGTGAATTTATTTAGTGACGAGTCATATTCGCCACGTTAGTGCTGTTAAACGGAGTTATGTGGCTTGTTATAGGAAGAACGCTTGCCAGGTGAAAACACACCACGTCCTGTCCATACGGCAGACTATCCGTGATCATGGAATCCGATATTCTTCCGACTTCTGCTTTTCTGAACAAACCCAACACAAAAAAGCTCTGGCCAGACAATCCGCGATTTAGATATGCTACAAAATCTATTCAGTCCCTGGTAGATTGGGATTATTCAAGACACTCAATCGTGCTTTTCTCGAATACTGCAACTTCATTTATGACAGCATGCGGAAATTAGACAGGAAAGCTACCGAAAATTTACTGAGGTCATTTACCAAATGTTTTTTTCAATAGCACATTCACCTTAAACTACCGCGAGCGTTACAATCAGCTTCATATCGAGCCTCTTTGACTGCGATGTTTATACCAAAACTTGGTGCTCTTTCGCAATTTGTTACACCAGAAAACTTTTATGTACGTAACATAGACATAAAACACAATAACCACAAACAAAATATTCAGGCTACTGTTACCAAAGGGCTGGAACAATCTTGCGATCTAACTATTTCCTCATCAGCTTACCGACCGCAATCAGGATATGTGAAAACCCTACGACATTATACACCAAACTCGACAGATACTTAGACCTAGAAGTCGCATCATCCATGTTATCATAAGACAACTCACCAGATGAAATATTTCAGCACGGTCCGAAAAAGATCCAAAGTGTTAAGAATTTGCGAAACATGCATTCAAGCAAGCGCATAAATATTTCTGTGCACACTGATCTCTAACTAATTAAGGAAGAGTTTTTTACACCATTATATATATATATATATATATATAAGCTGGAATCTGTTTTCTTGACTATGGTAACGCAGTCAAGTGTGTAGGCCGCGAATAGCTGCTAAAAGTTCTACTCATTGAAGGAATACATCCCTCACTCGTCCATTTGTTGAGGGACTGTTTTGTTGGACGCACTCAAATTACCCATCTCAGTAGCAGATACTTCTCCACACGAATCACTAACCCAAGTATCCTTCAGGGAGCGACTCCGTCGCTTTCTTATTACTACTTACGTCAGCTCAAAAGCAGTCCCGCAGAAACGACCATACTAACGTATGTCGACATAGCCTGGGTATTAATCATTGAAAAGCTGATTTCTTACTCAAGTTGTGAGATATTCCGAACGATCTCAATGTACAGTCCAAAGCTCGTAGTCTGTCTCTTAATGCAGCAAAGTGTCCTGACATTCATTGTTCGCTTCACAGAAGAGCCAGGTACGAGCAGCACCTTACGCAGTGCCTCAAGCTCCATATTAACGTCGATAGATTACACTCCACCCTATCAGTGAAATATTTAGGCGTGACACTGAACTCGGATATATCTTGGATTGTATGTAAAAGAAACATCAGAAGGTTGCCATTCTGCGCCGCCTGGCTGCAAAGCACCTCTGTCCCTCGTGATTTGGTCCTTCGCTTTGTCGGCCAGTGTTCCTTCCCGCTGGACGTACTATTCCCCTGTGATATTTCTCGGTCTAGTGGGTAACCTTTTTAAGTTAATTGTCAGATCATTAGGACATGTATTCCGATGTAACGGCTTTCCGATGCCTACTTTTGCAAACATAATTCTGTCTACACACATCATTTTTTGTAAACAAAGTGGCGGCAAAGATACTGGTCCATCCAAGTCATCTCATTCATACGTTTATCTGAATGTTAACATCATCTACCAGGCAGATGTAAAAGTCGATATGTGCTCACACACAAGCCTACCACTCATCGAGTTACTTGCTAGACCCTAACGGTATCGTTCTAGACCTAACCAGTCGATTTTTAATACGATTTTTCTGTTTATTCTTTACCAACTCGTGGTGTTTCCTAATTGCTTTGACTTTTTTGTATATTGCTGAAATCGTTTATGTTGTATCTGAATATTCACCTGCCCAGGATGCATAAAGCAATTTCTTGGCTTGACTTGAAAGTCCGATCGCTGTGCCAGAATACTCGTGAGTTTTATCAACACAGTGAAAAATTCAGTAGTACGGAGTGTCGAGGTATTGTTACGTAGCCTGTGGACATGACTCGGTAGAATGCTAAACGCCATGAGTGGAATGCTATCCGATAGTGAAGTCGTTGGTCCATTCAAATGAAACTCACCAGCTGACTCATGTTCAATTAATAGTAGCGACACAATTAGAGCTTCCTAGTGTACACATAATCAGTACGTGATATCTCCAAAAGTCCGACGTTCAAGAGGTGAGAATCGGGTGCAATGTGTGTAACACTGCATCCGTCGATAGCATCTCGGAGCGCAGTCGACAACGTAGAAACGGAAAGAAACAAATGTGCAGGAGTGAAGAGAAATAGGTTGGAGAAAAAACGGTGGGAATGAATGGAACTCACTTAGGCACCAATGGCGTTGGCGGCACTCGGTTGAAGTGTAGTTTGCTGGAATCGCACCGTAGAGGCGAAAATGGGCTTGCAGATTGCCGCACTTTGGGTGTGACATTGCCCGCATGTACGGGCGCGGAATATGTCATTTCGACGGAATCCACTTCAGCTCCATTGGGGACAAACTCGTTGCTGTTAAGCAGAGCGACAGCGAATCCATGCGCATGGGCTCTGCGGACCAAGTCGATCTGACTCCCCGACCGAAGCCCATGTTGAGGATGCATCAGTAATCGTGTGGCCCAAACCCCGGCCTGGGTGACACCACCTCCTTGTAACACGAGTAAAACGGGGCCAGTGTGCTTGAAAAGGTTGGACGAATGCAGGACGCGCATGCACAAGCTCGGATGGCCAGGAATCTGTAGAAAATGGATTCAGGCTTCAAAGACAGTATGAAGTGGGAAGGTAGGCAAAAGGTAAACTGCAAGGTATGGGAGTCAAGGGACATGTCTGCCACCGAGATGCTACTGACCATACTGTTTCCTAAAAGATCGATAGGAAAGGGCTTAGTCTCAATGTAAATTACTTATCTGATAAAAGTGTGAGAAGTAGGATTCTGTTTAGCAAACAGATACCTGTAAGAATTTGCCGATTAAGTGATGACGGGGTCATATTTCATTCGCAACACGAATGGTAATCGATTAGCTTCAGCGTAAATAGTTAAGTAAGATAATGATTCCGACGTAGTAAAAAGCGCCCGTTTCTGCACTGATATCGTCGACAACATTATACAACATTCCATGCGGTCTTCCACACCGTGGCGCGCACGCGAATTATGGTAACTGAGGGATCGTTGTCGAACACCAAGCGAACCGGGTCTGCTATGCACTGAATGTCACACACAAAAAGAGGCTCACGAGTCAGTGCTCAGGTATGCAGACTTCCTTGGAAGCAAAAATTGCCGACCAAAAATACGACTCTTCCAATAAAACGCAGTAAATTAGTCGAAATCACATACGATCGCGATGGACTAGGAATTACGTAGCATAAAGACGGCGAACTGCACTTAGATCAAGCAATATGCACAAGGAGAAAGACCAATCAAAGATATACAGACATACGAAGCAAATCATTAGGCTGAAGACATATGAGAGACCCGAAGACTAGGTCAGAGATACAACAATGCGATGTTGGGTAGCGAAGGAAATGTGCGTAGGTCGCGATCACCATGGTGAAGTGTACCGAACCCGATTGGGAACAGCAAGGTCAATTTACGCACTAGGCCGCCTCTCGAATAGGACAACCAGCATGATGGTCAGGTTGAATAACCGCAGAAAGGTGAAAAAATTCCAGTGTTACATTGAGTCAGTAACTCAAGAGACCACCAATGTACTGCCGACCGTCCAGTAGGCCTGTGTTAGGAGAACGAGGTGACTGACAATCTAGTTGCAGGACAAGTTTCGCAAGAACACCTGAAGAGATGATAGAAAGCGGGAAACGCCAAAAATATTACGGTTTGCATACCGAATCAACTTGGGAGAGTGCAGATCTAGAGAACGAAAGAGTGAAATTAACTAATTGTATACGATAAGTGTACCGGGCCTCAACGTAAAGACGCCGCAGTTTCAATAGCCACGGAAACATTGTCGAGCCAGGGGACGAGCAGCCGTTGAGGATATCCTCGAGGCTCAGGATGTAGACGTGGAGTATGGGCTGGCCTACGAGCTGATTGCCAGGTTTGAAGGGGTTTTGTTGACAAGTGAGGTAACAGTATCAGTTTGGCCTTCAAGGCCTAGTTCGCAGAGTCACCCCCTGAATTTAAATGCTCAGTGAGAGGGTTCACTTTTAAACACCATGTTTCGGTGACTTTAGGTGCCCGCCGACTTTTTCTTTTCCAAGGATATTTACGCTCGCGAGGTTCAAGCGAAGGGTTTCTGTATGCATATGCACTTTTGATTGCGACAGTGAACGGTCGGGCGACGTTCAGATGATCTTGTGCCGAGCTTTTTCATGTCTGTCCTACGTAGTGTTCCTCACAGTTCCAGCAACAGATCTTGTAGGTCACATAAGTTTTCTTTATGCTGCATCTAACCTTCGCCTGTATTCCAAGAGTCAGCGAAATTTAAGCTGTCATTTCAGAAGCTCTACATCAGTAGAGCAACAAAACTCGCTCATCAGCTGTTGCAGTCATGGTGTGTCGTGGCGCCTTTTATGGTTCCAGCTAGCACAGTATGAATCCCTGTGGATACGAGTTCCGTTTGAGCAGGTTGTAGAGATGCACTTTCTGTCTGCCGTACCGTATCTATCCAGGAAACAAAACGTCTGTAAACCAGTCAGCCAGGGCGGAAAATAATCCAAACGCAATAAGCAGTTTTCTGTTACCCCCGATCAGAAGCAATACGTGACCGGGCTAGCATATTCAAGTCAAGACAAATCAAAACAAGCTTTGTGAACCATAATGGGTTCAAAGTTAGATTCGTAGTCAGGGTTGGGAGAAGCAACACCGACCCACCTAAGAATGGGTTCATTTGCAACATTTACACCACCGTTGCGGACAAACTTGTTGATGATAGCCATATACATAGTAGGGGAGAAAATGGAAAACATACACACCTATCATTCCAGCAACCGCTCGCGCAGTATGTCTACGACTTACACTGGGTCACCAAACAAACCTGATAGATAGGGCAAAATAGTATTACGATACGATGACGTTGGGGTGAATAAAAGTGGGAATTTCGAACGCGTAGAAAAAGAGAATATTTTTGAAGGAGCACTGTGAATTGAATGAAAACGAGCAGTTGGGAGCCTAAAGGAAAAATTATTGCAAGCATCAAGATGTCTAGAAATGAGCAAATCAATTAAAGAATCTCTAGACAAGCCGCTACATCTAGAAATGTGCTTTATAGATCGTACAAATAGGGTTGTCTTTCTAAAGCAATCCAGTGAATATAATAGGAGAGCAGTATAACCAGTGTGGAATAATACGAGGTCACAAACTTGAACAGTAAAGTACGGAGATTGAAAGCATCTTGAGCCCAAGGGTATAAAAAGGAGTTGCATGCATGGATCAAGATAGGTTCTGGGACAAAAAGACGCTGGTATACTTAACGGTGTATGAATTGGGTAGGGGATTTTCGTTCACAGGAATAGTGGGGGTGATATCCATGGGGGACTGCATTTTATTGCTATGATAAAAAGAAAATACGACATCACTTTGTTTAGAAACGTAAAGTGTAAGAGATATGGGATGAAGACCACTCGACCAGATCTTACGACCTACGTTGAAGTGATAATGAATCCCAGCACAACATCGTCGGCATATTTGCATCCAACAAATGCGGTTTGTATGGGAAGATGTTCAGTATGTAAGGAAAATAGGGAAGGTGATAGGATCGTTCCCTTCAGAACACCACAGTCGGCACGGAGGGCAGAGGATTATTTACCGTTTGAATGGGTGAAGTGAGCACGATCCTTAAAATAAGCAAGCAACAGAGTAAACACACCCGACTGAATTCCATTTTCGGATAGGAGCTTCAGTAACATTGACTTACCCAGGCTTCCGGAGACAATCGCATACTCAAGGAAGAGAAGCCGTACGGATTTACATTGTTGGTCTTATGCAAACACTATAGAATGAACAAGGTATGACTGCATCCAACGTAGAGCGCTGGGGTCTATACGCAGAATGGTAGATAACGTTTTCAGGAGTGGCTGTAAGAACCCGCAAAATAAGCAATTTTTCGAAAACTTAGAAGCACGAAGTCGGATGATAGTTTTGAAAACCATTTTTGGTTACTCGGGTTGTACTGGCCGATCTCCAAATGTCACAGCGATGAATTTGTTAAAGAAATCTGTTGAAGGTAGTGTGCGAGAATCAACACACTCTTTCAAAGCTAATGATGAGAGCATCCGGACAACTAGCTTTGTATGACTTTAATCTTTTGAATTCCTTGTGAATGTTGCTTTGATCGAAGGGTGCAGCTGGACTTAAGCTATGGAAGGAGGGCAAGGGCAGTGAGCTTAACGATGCGGAACTAAACTGGGAGTTCATCGCTTTGGATGCAAACGCGCTTATCACAGAGCTGCTTCGAAAGCTTCCATAAATCGCGACAGTTCTGGTTGCCTAGAATCACTTCGACGTATAAGTGATTTAGCCATTTTATCTCAGATTTAATTGCCGAGGTTAAACCTTTGACACAAGTAGCCATCTTGCATTTGTAAGCTCATACTTTCATTCTTCAAAGTTGCCTTAGCAGTGGTGAAAATATATCCGCCCTTGGGGACATCATTACAAAATGACAACGTATGTGAAAGCAATATTTGAATTAGTATGTAAGATGTTTAAATTGAAGCGGCAAGTCCGTCATTGAAAACTGGAAAATCAGATAAAGAAAATGTCGACCAGAGCTTTGTGATATTTTCGAAGGAGTAATTTCGCCGTCTGACAATCTTGTAACGGTGCTTAATGACCGTAAAAAGTTAGATATACTATGTATGATTGGATACAATTTTACGACACGATGGCCTGAGCTGCTCAAAGGAGCTCGTTTTGCATGGAAAACAACTGCCTTTTATTTGTGTACACAGCGTTCAACTGGGCATCATGTCTGGTCAAAAATATCGCCAGATCTACCAAGCCAAGTGTCCTTAGAAATGTTGTATCCTTTCTATTAAAGTCGTCAGCAACAACGCAGATAGAACAATCCAATTTAAGCAGCAGCATTAAAAAAACTTGGTCCTCAAAAAGCTCCAACTCTGACGCGGATGTGTCAGGAACAATGTAGACGTTTCCAGCGATGATTGACCGAAAGCAGATTAAAAATTTCGGTTTGAATTCAATCAAATGGCAGTTTATAGCAGTCGTTGAGTATGTGAATAATACGGTTGCTGAATTGCACCAACGTCGATTAACCTGAGTTATAACGCCAGCACTACGAAACTGGGGCATTCTTCCAGGGTGGTCAGATCCGATGGGAAAATAACCAACCGGTTGAATAACCTCATTTGCCATATCAGTGTCCCACCAACTTACTTGCAACAGAATGAGTCCTGTATTTACATATTCATTCCACTGCATAATGGCACTGAGGTCGCTGATTTTACCGAGAAGCACGCGCACATCACTGTAAAGTATCGGTGAGACTTGCGCTTCATCAACAGAACAATAACTGATGCCAGATTGCCAACCAACACGATGCGTTCGCTTTTTTGCAAGACATTCCTTATTCCTTTGCAAGTGTTCCTGACTTTGACTATATTCGATGAAGCACGAATATAAGGCAGTAACGTGTAACGCTTTCATAAGGTGGACCCTGAGACGCGTTCAGAAAATGCAAATTGTCTCCAAGATAAAGACAAAATACAAAATCCGCAGTCGGTAGTGCAAAATAATATTTCAATGAGAAGAGAAACGGCC